ATAGTGCAAAATTAATTAACTAGTCACATTAATAATATAAAAGTAACAATTGAGAAATTAACACATTAAATAAGTCGCCATAAAGAACGAGTATATTATAATTATGCCCTTTCTTTGCAATAAATTCATTATTTTATCCATCACGCCCGATTTTATAATGATTTAATGAATTATTTGGGCAATGATTTTAATAATTCAAATAAATCTTCTATTATCGCGAATAACGACTTTTTAACGGTGTACTATAATCGTTTCATGTGATCTCCGGGACAAATAACTATATTGTGTATATAATATAAATACTTTTACGAAAAAAATTCAAGAAAATTAACTTAGATTCACATACGTTAAAAATATAGTGGAATATGTTCAAGCGATTTAGTTCTCAATATAAAAAAATTTTCAAAAAGAGGTATATGCGTATGTACAGGTACATAAACATACGTACTATGTACATAAATTATATATAAAAACATATATATATATATATATATATATATATATATAGTGCAAGTCTCTCTATGTACATATGTATCATTCTTTCGTGTAGAAATACACTACCTGAATATCAAAGTGAACTCGTTATGACATCGAAGTTGTTGATCGTTTTCTTTTTATAGACTTATTTCACATGCAAAATAAAATATTTTATCTTTTATAAATTTAATAAATAGCATATACCGTCCCACTATCAGAAAATTCGCATTGGATTGTCTTTCATACGATATCATCTTTGTATAAAAAAAGGCAAGAATATAAAAAATATTAAAAATGATACTCATCATTAATTCTCTAATTAAAAAAAAGAAGAAATTTGTTTGCAAAAAATCTTGTTGAAAAGAATCTTTTTCTACATACATTCTTTTTTGCGCGAGGTTTGCACCATGAATCTCGCCTCATATTTTCTATTTGTTACCTTTAAATAACAAATAGTGTAATACGTAATTTTTATCAAATTAATATTGAAAATATATCATTCATTATTATAATTCTTTTTTTTAACACGCAGTATTTAGTAATTACAAGCGATTTTTGTCATACCTTATATACTTGCATTTTTGGACCAGTCGATTAAATTTTCATGAACCCTATATATATAAATTTATCTATTAGCTGCAAAAAGTATTTTAAATTTAGCCAAATAATTTACATATTGCTTTTAGTAAAATTTTTATTATGAATCAATATTGTCAATATTTTGAAAAGAGATCTTCGACGAAGAGCTTTATAAAAAAAAAACTAAACTGAATGCCGATTGTTCTCTACAGATGTGTGATGATTGATTATAGGATAGAAAAAAATTAAGATCCATATGTAAAGTGAAAAAAAACCGATTTAAGATCTATAGGAGTATAAGTATGTGACTGTTTAGATTGTTATTATAAATATTACCAATACTTATAAAATGATCGACACAGAAAACAACGACGTACATGTCTCAAGATGTATGAAGATAATATAACAAATTTGAATTGTATGTTCTTACTTTTCTTCCATTTACAGCTTAAAAATTTCGTTATCCTTTTACTTAATCGAATTTCTTTTTTCTCTCTTTTAAACTACACATATTATCTATATTAATTTTTTTATCATACAGATTATATTATATCCTGTTTTTATTGCGAAAAATAATTTCGTTATATTACATCATATCTAGAGGTAATGTGATTTATATTTGCATTTACATCTTTACAATGATTCAGGTCTTCATAAAGAACTATTATTTTTTTAAATTGTTACACTTATCGTTTTTGCATTTGTTTTGAGATTCAAAATCTTTAAGAGATTTACATATTTGAATATTAGAAGTTTCATATTTATATAAAACTGTACATCAATGTCTAAAACTAAATATTTCCAAAAATTTTGTATTTATATTAATTTATATTTATACTATGTTTACATACGTATTTTTTAATTTCGTATTATACATTTAATATCTACAATTAATTAATTAAAATTTTTAAGTTTTCAGTTCATATTTATAATTATTTCGCAACAACTTCCTCATATTTGATGTCCAGAAAGACATTAATATTCGTGACAATAAGAATAAATTATAGATATGAAGAAATATTTATGTATAAAAGTCATCTAAAAATATACATTTCAGTTTTGACTTTTCAGATTATATCTATTAATATTTTTTATTTTTACAAAATTGATGAAATTACAATTGTGATGTCGAAATAATGTTGTGTAAATATTATTTTTCTCTTAAAAAGATATATTTATGTTAGGAATTATTTAAATAAAAGGAATTATTTAAATAAATAAAAATATGACATACAATTTTTCTTTCGCGTAATCATATTATTGATAATTTAAAATGTTCGAAGATGACATGAAGTTCAATAATACAATAATACATGTAAGGTAAGAAGTAAAAATTATGATCTTTTATTTATATCTTGATATTTCATAGAAGTAGGTAACTGTATTTTTCTCGTTATCATCTGTTTTGTTTCGACTAATCGCTTCTTATATTCATCACATATTCGCTGAGAGGGCGTTAGTGAACAGCCAAACGAACTTTCGTAACAGATAAAACTACGTAACAATTGTCTTATTAATGCATTTTCAACCAATTTCCAATTATACGATCAAATTTTAGGAATAGAATATTTTTAATAAATTTTGTTTTGAAATCTCTAAGAATAAAATGCAATCTTTCAAGTACAAATCGTTCATTTTCATAATTTTATCACTAGTTCGAAAGTATAAAACAAAACTTCAATTTAATCATTTAAAATTCTACATATCGTAATTACAGTTTCTAATAACTTCTGTTAATGATCAACGTGGAAATATTAAATTGTGAAGAATCCCACAAATAATACGAAGTTTATCTGAAGGAATTCTCGCACATCGCGTTATCATTTTTATTAAGTTTATATGATGAAAATTTCGTTATGAATAACAAGTACATGCGATCACTTTAATTAAATATTTGACATGTCATATCTAATAAGAAGTATGTTATTATGATAAAGAGTTTTTCAAAAAAAGCGTTAATATCATTTTCGCGCGTTATAGGTATTGGAATTTGTATTTACCTTATCAAACTTAACCGCTATGACGCTGCGAATCGATCACGAAGCATCCATGAAGCAGCATTGATCGCAAAGATCCGCAATGATCGACACATTTTAACGCTCGCTCGTCATTTGAATCAGCATTCACTGATGAAACTTCGCATTAGATATGCATTACGATGAATAAAAAGTCACAATAAATGCGGAGCGATTCGCACTTCGCACTCCGAACCGACGCGCCGATGAAACTGTCATGGCGGCCGATCGGCACGCGGGACATTCAATCTGATATGATCTGAGAGAATTTGAAATACTTCGAAAAATCGGCACACGATGCTTGTTTTCCTGCTGGATTGCTAGATGGATTAGAATCTTGCCATCGTATTGGTATTGACAGTGCCAGCATCAATAGCAAGATCGAATTTAATCCAGCTATCAATAATCCAGTAAGAAAACAGGCACCGTTCAGTGAGAAATGATAATGGAATCGACGTGGAATCGATGTCGATTCGATATCGAAAGCGTCAAATCGACATCGAATCGACATCGATTCGATTTCATTTAATTCGCGATGAGCGACGAATGTGATTCTTGAAGTATGTATAATTTACATTAATTTAAATCAATTACAATTATTGTAATTTGTTCAATATATAAAATATCGAATTTTGTCTTCTTTTTTTCCTACTAAAAATACCTATATACAGAAGATTGAAGCAATATTGCATATGACAATATGTAATATTGCAGAGATATTAACATTACAGAAATGTAAATTAACAATATGCTTGCAAAATGTCAGTAATATGCTTGTAATATTTCACAAACATTGCGAAACTGTAATTCTTTAATTGTTACAATAATAATAATATAAAAATATAAATTTTTACAATATTTATGTAGTACTTTAGTTTAATAGTTTTTATGATATAATAATTAACATAATTCATTTTATATTTAAATAAAAAATTTATTGATTCTAAAAATTTATTGATTCTAAAATCTATTATTTGACGGTCATTTCATTAGCTAAGTTTTATATTTATTTTAAATATGAAATCAAAAGATTGTATAATATCGAGTTTGAATCAATCAATACATCATTATCGGATAAGACGATAAGCAATTAAGCTGCTGAAAAAATATTAGCGGTTTCGAAATATTAATTATGTAATGATATGAATGCAAACGCCTGATTTATTGGAATATTTTATCGTAAAACATTGCTTTTGGAAAGCACATATCACTAGAAATGCGATTTGTAGAAAAATTAATTAGTGAAATATATCTATAGAAATAGTTCATTTTAGAGTCTTCGTAAAAAATTCATCCAAATACATTACATTTTAATATTGCTGGAATGTTTTGTTGCAATATAACAAAAAGCGGACATCTTAACATTGTTGGAATTTTGCAACAATGATTCAGCAATCATGCAATATTGTAATGTTCAGTGAAATCATTTTGCAATATTCTGCAATCTTTCTGTGCTGTATGGGTAACAAATACCTAAATAATCGAAAAGATGATTAACTTAAAAATAACATTAAACTAATAACATTAAACTAACAATATTTAACATGAATTATAATTAATTAATATTTTTGTAAGTATTCCGAGATGAAACAATTAAAATCGACTATTTACAGTTGAAGTTGTGAGGAGAATAATCAATTTAATTCTCCTCATGTTCGATTATGATTGGCTAATTTTTTATAGTTGTATATTTATAAGCTGTAAATGATCCTTAAAGACGCTGAGTGCAAAAAGCGCAAAAAAGCAATGCGAACTTATTATCTATTTATCTCTCCGAGGTTGTATAATCGACAGATTACGTCCTCTGGTGGCGACGTGAGCAATCACGTGACCGATCAGGTGAACCGAGAGCATTCCAGGTCCAGAGGTCGCTTCGCGCCGGCGTGGGTTTATTGCAGCAGTATCGCGCGTCTCTTCGCGCCGGTCGTTTCTCGTTCGATTTTGTATTGCGTACACGCCGTTTACAGAGATCCGTTATCGCAGATCAACCGTGAAAATGATCGCGACGTGAATTTCGCCGCACGGCCACACGGGGTGTTTTTTTCTCTCTTTTCTTTCGCACGGCGATAACGATTGTGCACGTTATTCTCGGTTGATCTAGGAGGATGCAGCGCATCGCGGCTTTACTGGCTTTGCTCGCCTGCGTGTGTAAGTACCGTACCGAACGGAATAGCGTAAGCGTAAGCGGGGCTCTCTGACTCTCTTCCCTCCCTTCCCGCTACTCGCCGCGGGTCTGTCTGCCCGTCTGTCGGGGTGAATCACGCGGAGGGAAGAGAGCCGATCGAAGTTTCCGTAACGGCGCATCTCCCTCCTCCTCCACCCCCTTGGGATCCCGCGCCGATCATCTCGCGATCTTCCCAACCCGCTTCGACCGGTTGCCGCTTCGCGCGCGATTTTCCCTTTCTTCCTTTTCTAACCGGCCGACGTTGTAATTATGGCTAATTGAGTCTGAATCGCGCGCCTTGGTCGACTGGACGATTTGATTCCGTAGAAAAAAACAAAAAAAAGAAAAATCACAGGCTCCTTTCGAAGCAACGATTTATACCACACGGATCATTCCAGCAATAATATTGTAGCGACATTATTAAAAACATTACAGTGATTGCTGCGTTTAGCAGAGAAATGAGCGCTCAATGATTTTTTAACGATTACATTCAACAGAGAAATCAATTCTATTATTATTGTGAAAATCTTTAATGTGATTGATATTGTTCTTAGTTTATTACTGAATCTAAATGTATAAACCAATATAAAATAATATTATATAAAAGAATCATGTAAAAGAATTTTACAATTGCGAAACTGAACGCAGCCATTGGTTTTTGTTTTTAATTCTTTGCTGGATCGAATTGCAGGAACCAATCATATTAAAGAATCATGCACCAAGCGCTCACTGATCAGTTTTTTTCTACTGAACGTAGCCAATAATTCTGTTCGCTTTGCTTCAAAATTTCCCAAAATATCTGCACTTAAAATGAAATGAATATATATTCGGGTATTGAAGAATGAAAGAGAGAGGGCGAAGATGCTGAACGCAAAAATTGCAAACAACGCGAACAAACTTAGAACGATTCATAATCGGAGGGGTAATCTAATTGAAATATTATCCCACAGATTATATGATTTCATTTGGTTTCATATAATTTCATCTGATTACAAATAATTTTCTTCATATGAAGCCATGAAGTCACTACATTGAAGTCATTAAAATAAATGATTTTATCAAATATTATATATTATCTAATTATATATTATATTATATATTATATATTATATATATTATACAATATATATATATATATATAAAATATATTATACAATAATTTCTCGTGATTGCATATGCATTATTACATTAAGTGATTATTACCTCTTCGATTTTAATTTCAAGACTATCTTAAGTAAAGGATCATTTATACTTGCTGTAATCTGTAAGAATTGACCAATCTTAGTCGACTATCCTCCTCTCATTCAACTGTGATTGGTCAATTCTTACAGATTTTGACATAAGTTAATAAATTATAGTTATCAATATAAATGATTTTTTAGAATCATCGCACGATTTTCTGTAATCGTAAAACGTACCATAAGAATTAGCCAAAAGCTGAAAATTTTTGATAATTCTTGACTGTAATTGGCTAATTCTTACAATACATTTTAGTATTAGAAAATGTGCGCGATAGCCTTAATGTTTTAAAACACTAATGCTAGAAACACATAAAAAAACAGTAGGCAATAAGACTTAAGCAATAAGATTTAAGAAATAAGCGAATCGGCCAATCACAATAGAGAAACGTAAAATAATTCTTTACTGTGATTGGTTGATTCGTTTACTGCTTATGTCTTATTCTTTTGCGTTTTTTATATGTTTTTGGCTTAATATAACTCTCTGATTGGCTTATTATACATTTTACGACTGTACTTAAGACAATCTCAAATATAAGAATCTACTAGAAAAACAGTCTTAATGCTGTTGCAAGCTTCTGTTCTATAGAGAAATCTCTTTTGCTTCTGTCCGAGTCTCCTACAATTGTTGAAGATTTTACGGTTAGTATTGATTTAGAAGGAGAATCGGAACCCGCTGATTTGAAATTACGCGGTCAGATATCACGGAAAGGGTATCATTTCGTGCGCGAAGAACCGCGAGAGTATCTGGCGAATGCATCAGTACGATACGGCAAGCACGGTACGTTATGCCGAGAACATTGTTACACGCTCGTTGCACACTGTTATTTCATGATAAAATCGCGTAACTCGCTGAGTAAAATATTTCGTTGTTACCGGCTTGCTTTTTAAGTGTACGATTAATATTATCTCGATGCATAAAAAGATTTTGGAATGTCCTGTAGAACTTTGATCTCGCGTGCGCCAAAGAAACTATCTTTTTATACATGCTTGTTATTTTCGCTCAAATCGCATTTATATCTTGATTAATGATTACTATTATTTTGCGCATACAATATTGTTCACACATCGAGATTATTCATTGGCTTTATAATGACTATTTTTAACTTTACAACTGCAGAAAATCACAGAATAAATATTGCATATGATTGAAAACAAGCTCGAATAATTTCGTAAGAAAATGACATTTCTAGTACTTTGATTCTGTAACTTTTGACGACAATTAGTTTAGTTGGTACTTTCCACATTTATACTCATTTTTATTAATATAGTTTAATTTTGATCTCGATTCAACTAATTCTTCTTTTTTTTCTGGTCTGGTTATAAGAATTAGAAAAAGATGAAGAGTAAGTTGAACTGATTTAAGTTAATCGCACAAAAAAAAATTTTACGATCACAATGACCAAAAATCGCCTCAATATATTTTTTTTATTATAAGAACTATAATATACGATTGTGCATTATAACCATAAAATTGACATATCTTAATGGTTATGGCTGTTAAGATATGTCCATCTTACGATTATTACAATCAAATATATTGATGGGTGAAAATGATCATTATTTCTGGTTGTGGCAACCATAACATTTTTTCTACATTAATAAAAACAGGCATTAGTAACTCAAGTCGACACGAACATCATTCTATTTTTCTTGATATTCGAAGAGTAATAAAGTAATAAAATGATATTTTATCAAATAGAAAGCATCCAGTATTATTAATATTACCGTTGCACAGCTTTCTTGTCATGTATGTATAATTATGCGTTTACAATACATGGAGTAAGAAGAGTAAGAAATTCACTAATCACACAGTCGAGTGTGAGAAGAATAATCAACTGTGATTGATCAATTTCTTACTTTTTCATATATTATAGGGTGCGGTCCACTTGGCGCAACAAATGCTTCGGAAGCATTTGATTGACCAATCAAAAGAAAGAATTTCACTAATTGATCAATAAAAAAATGCATCAAGTCATAAATGCATAATATCTGCGTAATGACAATATAAAAGTGCGTTCTATTTCACGCACATAGTGCACATGATATTTTTTATTTTCATTTTATCTTTGTTGTTCACTGAATATTAAAAAAAGATAAAATGATACATCATGCGCATCATATGTGAAACGAAATGCAATCCTCATCTGTCGTATTGCTTCCATTTTTTACACTATAGCGTCTTTGCTGTCTCTTTCTTCAACATCTGAACATACATTTACTTTATTTTAGGTGTAAAAAATTTTTGAGAATTTTGAGCAATATGAATAGATCTAACATATCAACATTATCGTTAAAAGTTAGGATTATGGCACACAAAAAAAACTTATGCAGTAAAACGTAAGCAAAAGTAAAGAAATCAACATGTTAAGCTGACTTTTCGTATGCAACACGCATGAGATGCGGCAGCAATTCGTTGCTATTGGTTAAAAATTTTACATGAGATGACGCACTTTCGACGCAAAATACATTTTGCCGCATCTCATTGAAGTTCAACAACGAATAGTAAATAATTCGAGAAAGTCTACAATATTTGCAAAAAATGTGAAAAATTGAGTACATTTACAATGAGTATATTTTTATTAAGATTTGAAATGATGGGGATATTCTAAATAATTACTTGAAATGGTAATTGTCCAAATTATAACTGTACTAACAGTTGTATAGTATAACTGTACTAATATATAATCACAAGTTTTTATCTTTTTAAGTTTTCCATATTAATTTCCGAGCTGAGCAAATAAAAGACACATATTTTGAGGTTAAATTTTAATGTGCTGTTGCCGTTATTCCTTTTCATGCGTAGCAAAAAATGCAGCGGAAGCAATTGTGAAAAACGTGACATTTTAGCTGCCGTAGCGTGCTGCGCATGAGAAGGCACTTTTAGATTCACTATTGTTTACTTTATGTAGGCTTACGATCTCTGTGATTGGCCAATTCGCTTACGTTACGTTTTACTGCTTAAGTTTTTTTGTGTACCAAACAGAATCGGAATACTGGCTTTCATAATACTTTAACCGAGGGACATTTTGGAGAAACATCCTTAGGACGTAGAATGTTTTCTGGATGTCATTAGGACGTCCCTTGGAGGTCAATGCTGTAAGAGGTTTTTCACATTTGCTATTTTTTTCTCATCGAATTTATAAGGGTTAAAAATTATTTCAAACATTTTATTCTAGTCTGTGAATTTATTAAAAATCTGTTATCCTGTTGTTGGCTATCATTTTCTATTCAACTCAGGTATCATGTTTTTCAAAGAGGGTGAAAAAAGGAATAGAAATGAAGAAAAGATCACAATTTTCTTTTCAGTATACTATCCTCTTCTCTGCAATGCAAATTGAAGAGTTGTAAGGAAAAAAAAGGAGACATATTCTTTCATCTAATCGGAACTAGCCAATTTGTGTCCTCCTCGCGGATTCTCCCTCGACTTTCACGACAACGAGACGAGATTCAAGTAGAGAGGAAAGGATGTTGGCTCTCCACCATGACGGTGGTTCTCCTCTCAAAGAGGAGGAACCGGTTCGATAGCCGCGCACACCTACACGAAAAGCGACGAGTGTACGCAGACTCAGCGCACATCGGGGGGAGGGGGGAGGGGTAGAAATGGGGGACGGGAGAAAGAGGTGGTTGCCGTGTGGTATTACGTCGGTATATACATCTGTACCCAATATCGGCCTATACGAAAGTTGAAAGGGGAGAGGGAGTGAAATGGGAGTGCGCGCAATGTACGAGATGACTCTTGAGTA